TGACACGCACGTGACAACGCACGAGGCGGGCGGGGAGTGGAAATGACCGATGGCTTTCTTCGTCTTACCCTCAAATGCAAGTGATCTTACGGGAGTTTTTACAATAAATGATTTAACGTTGAAACTTTCATCGTAAACTCACTTGATGAACGGCTACGTTCCATATCTGGACACAGATTTTCAAACAGTTGGTCTTAGATTTGACATAAGTCCATATTCAGCGACGGACCCATCAGAGGCCGTAGAAACCGACTATCTTCGTCCTAACCTAATTGTTGCTCCTGGTGTGTCATGAACTTCACTGTTGGCGTAGCATAGGATCCCCCTATCTATAGTTTCTAGATCGTTGGATAGGCGCGACACCCGTGACCGGCGAAGCACGGACTCTGACGAATAAACCACGTCATATCGTGTCCGCGGCCGTCGCGTCGCGTCGCGTCGTCACCTTCTGGATCCCGCTCCGGTTTTGCTTCCTACATTTCCTCCCCCAGTCGAATTCGAAGCTGGGGAAACTCCCACGGAGCTCACGCGCGAACACGAAGAACTGAAAAAGAGGGCCCGAATGGTGTCAAGGTGAGAGCCGCGTGGCCAATTAAGATCTCGGGTCTCCGGCCCAGGCTTTCCGAATGGACAGCCAAGGCTCCCGAGTGTCAGCCGTGTCTCGCCGCCGCCGCCGCCGCCGCCGCGCCGCGCCCTCACGTACACGGAGCGACACACGCATGCCGCCGAAAAACCCCGCTCGGCTACGCGACCCTCGTCCGTTGGGCTTTCCCCCGCTCTTTTCCGCACCGATAAGCTATTATGCTCCTCGCTACTACGATCAGGAATACTGCCGTGCTAAGTGAAAACGCCGTAAATGCATTCGTATGTCGCCAAAATCACTCTCAAATCATATTTATTTTTGAAGAAAGTTATGAGTGTTTTGAAAAATCTTGAGTACCTATTCAACTAAAAGAGCTTCCAGAAATACCCTCCCCTCCTCCCCCCTCGGCTAGTGATTAAATATCATTGGGAATCTCATAAATGTTTAAAAGTATAAGTGTTTTGATTAAAGCAATTCATTGAGTGCTTTTGGCATTATAAAGCGCGGGAGAAGATTTAAAAAGAACGAGCCGAGCGCTAGATTTGTATAATTTGACAGTCCAATGTGAGCATATAAATGCATCCAGTCAGTAGTATGCGATAACATCAATGATTTCAGTTAAGTTGACCCACTGAAAGAATATCCATGCAATTGTGTAAAGTCAACTATTTTTGGTTTATAAAATTATTAGAGGATCTAATAAAGAGGTATGGTGCAACTCTCGACAGGAGATAGCTATACATATTAATACAGCTTATGAGCAGGTCCTGAACTTCTCCCACTTAGGATCTGCTCAGAGGTGTCTTGAGTTATGTTCAGTGGAGGAGATTTTAAAATGAGATTATGGTGTCATTCTTGGACAGCTCATCAAGTGTTGTCCAGCCTTAAACTTTAACCCATTTGCCGTCCTGAACAGGAGCTATGCCAATGATAGTGGGTGACGAAGCTTGATTCAGAGGTTTGGCTACCAAGGATTGTAAACAGATACGAAACACTATTCAGAGGCTCTCGCCGTCTTCATTTTAATTACGTACAAAGTCTTCATAACGAATTATCTGCGGGTGATGTATAAGTAAAAATTTTAGATAAAATTTAACAATGGTGGAGGAAGTGTCAGAATGGGATTGGGTCGCGTCGTGTAGTAACTCCAGGGCACGTGCTCATGCGACCTCGTATGACTTTTTGCGTAAGAGATTTGGTTCCTCTTATTGCTTTGATCTGTTTTTCCTCGCAATCAGTATCGTATGTGTCAAGTGTGTTTTGAAATGAAATCCCATCGCTCAAAATATCCCTCCAATGCCTTGGAGACTTAAACGCATGAGTAGAAATAACGACGAATGCGCAAGAAATCTAGTTACCTTGCATTTTTTTTTATTTCTACCTGTTGTTGCACCTTCATTTTACTATCGCATCTGTCAAAGCCCCGTTTCTCTCAGCGAAGAGCGTAATTTCATTTTAACGTTGCCACACTAACCGCGCAAATTGCACTTTAACCAGGAAGATTTTGGGTTTTTCTAATTGAAAATATCAATAATTTTTCTTCTAATCTCATGCAAAAATCGGAGTAATTTTCAACAAAAATTGCATGGTTTGAGTCAATTTTGCAACTTTGGAGTAGAGTTGCATTTCTTTATCCAGGTGTCGATGAAATGGAAGTATTTATGCTAAAAGGAACTGTGTTCCACGCGAACCCTATGCACATAGTTCCTTTTAGCATAAATACGTCCAAATATGTGTCCAAGTTGAATCCTTTCACTCCAAGTATCCCCAATAACTTGGAAACTTAAACTCGAAAAAAAATTAAAAAAATAAATAAATAAATAAATAAATAAATAACGACAAATATAAAAATCTGAGAAAGAAGTTACGTATGAAAAGAAAAAATAATCCTTAGAGACGTCGTAACGAATGTCAACTGCAGTCATGTGTAGTGTTTTTAAAGGAATTAGTCCCATTTTTGGGAAATACTAATTTCAAACACGAATTTTAATGGAGGAAATTAGGATTGCTTTAATTATAATAGAATTCCAGCACTTGAATTGCTATGATGCGGGTTGGACGTTATGTTTCGATTAGGTGGACGTTATATTTCGATTAGGTGGACGATATGTTTGGATTAGGTGGACGTTCATACATGAACGTAGGAAGTGGCAGGCATTGACCTACAGCTGGGTCGGCTCAGCTTATTTGCAAAACGTCCAAATCGTGAGAGGACCGAGACCGACGTCGACCGTGCAGAATTCTCAATTCCTCCATCGCCGCGCCGCGCCGCGCCGCGCGCCGCACAGTGGATCGAGTCAATTAGTGAGGTTGGACGTGCGATTTTTGACTCAAACTTCAGATGTTGACGTTTATTTCCTCACATTTTGAATTTCAATGGGTCCCAAGTAACAAAATAGAATTTTTTCCTGAAAAATAATTTTAAGAAAACTTTTAGTAAATATACCAAGAAAATGAGAGTTATCTAGAAAGTAGAAAGAAAAAACATTGCGAGTCAAAAGTCTAACCAACGAAAATAGATATATTTCATAGATCTAGTTTCTGTCAACTTCCCATTTGGAAAAAAGAGAGAAAATTTATCGAAAGTAGAATTATTTTCCAGCCAATTTCTTGATGTTTTCTTTTAAGAAAATGCAAGGAAAAAATATATTTTCTTTCTATTTTCTTGCGTCTATTTTCTAGATCTACTTAATACCTATTTTCTTTCAAGAAAATAGTTCTATCTAGAAAATAGACATTGTCTTGATGAGCGCCACCTAGAAAGTAGATGACAATGCTACTTGGGGTGTTACTGAAAGAAAATTTCACGAGGAAATCAATGAAACCACTTTTAAGACCTCAAAGTTTTGTATGGACGGAGTTGAAAGCTTTTAAAGTTGCAAATTTTGTTGGACCTCTCCTATTGACTCGATGCACTGCGCGCCGCGCTCACCTCCACTTTGGCAAGATGGCCTCTTTCACAGTGGATCTGTCTTCAAGTACTTTGGACTCGGACACCTCGTCGTTGCCCTCACGAGAGAACGTAACTACATTTCAATGCTGGCAAATGGACTACATTTTGCAATTTGGAACTACATTTTGCAAATTGGAACTACATTTTGCAATTTGGAACTACATATAGTAATTACAAATGATTCCTCGTTAACTCCGAAAAAGGAATCTCGCGAGTACTCTCGGAGATCAGGTGCCATGAAGACCAGAGTTTATTTTTGGACGGTGATAGTCTCCAGCGATCTGTTGCATTTTTTAGAGTTGATAACCTGCCTTTTATAAATGTTTCTTCTTTGCCGATGAAAATTAAGCCTTTCTTTACGAACACGTGCTTTTTAAACAGACAAAACAGGTCATACTGCGCACCTAAAAACTTTACTATGATGGTCTCAAATCTAAATGAAAAGTAACAACATTTTCATCATGACTCCTGCAAATTGAAGGGTCACCAATAAGCCTACATTTGCCTAGTTGTTTTCTTGCCTCGATAGATATTCGAATTCCGGACCAATTGCGATCAGAACAGACCATTTGATGACTATTAGTCACCATGCAACATTCCTTTTCGATCAACATTTGGCTGCCCAAATTAAAAAAATGATAAAAAATGAGTACCACCGTTCATCACTTCTTGCTGCAAGAAGTTTTTGTGCCATAACGATGTCGAGATTGATGACTTCCACGCACTCCTTCTCTTTCGGTCTCGATTAACGATCAAATTCCTATCAAAGTAGACCGCTTGATGACTGTTGGTCACCATGCAATGGTCTTTCTTGGTCAAAATTGAATGGCCCGTCTACTTTTGATAAAAATGGAGTGCCGTCCGGAACATTCGTCCGTATTTGAAAAGAGAGCGAAGTATCGATTTTAGGACTGATGGCTTCCGACACATGGGTGGTAATTGGTTCGTTCGGAACAGCGCTCTCATTTTATTTTACCGAAGATTCCGGGGCTCCCGCAATTATTTGCGATTTGCCGACTTTCCGGGAAAAATTCCGATCTTCCCAAAATTTCCAGAAAATAATTCCCAAATACGCCCGGATTTAGTTCAAAATCATCAAATTTGATGAAATAATCGGTCGAACTGACGAAAACCGCGGACGTTCCGGGAAAATTCCGAAAACAGCTGAAAATTCCGAGACATTCCAGGAATTGCAAAAGTTCTGGAAAAAATTCCAGCGAATTGTGAAAGGTCCGAGCTTGGGAACTAGTTCCGGCAAATGGAGGAATCGGATCATGGATCGAGAGCCTTCCTCTTGGTGATGAAATTTTGATGGTGCATCGAGAGCTTTTCCCACCGTGCGACAGGTAGCGCTGCCGGGTGCCAGAAGCAGGAGGCCAGGCAAGACCAGGAGCTGCCGAGCGCAAGCACCCGGAGAAGAGTTTACTATAAAAGTATTACACAACCGCAGCGTTGCTCCTCAGATCAATTATAACAGCGATCAGTTGGATCCGTCGTTTGACTGTTGACTGTCGCGTCGAGCGCATTGCTGTCCCGTTGGCGTTCCCGCGTTGCGATCACACGTGTGTCCACCTCAGATGCGTCCGCGTGTGCGTGTCCGAACCCAACGCGGCTCCGCGAGTTACTTGTGCCGTTGACCAACCCATTCATTCATGTGACATTTTTTCGCACGGATTATCAACATGATTCGTGAGTACCCAATTCATTTTCACTCGTCCTAAGGCATTTTTCCAACACCATTCGAGCGGCTCCGAGGACAAGGCGCATAACTGCAGTTTTTGAAAAAATTGAGCTATTAGTGATTTCAAGTAAAAATAGTCTGAATGCACATTTTTTGAAGAATTCGCTGTCAAATTCCAATTTTTAAGCATCGAAAAGCCAGTCATTGAACTTCCTTTCCGACGTAAGGATCCTTTTCTGAAATTAAAACTAATATATTAAATTTTCAAACATGTATTCCTAAAAATAGCAAAAGCTGCACTTGTGCGCCTCGTCTTCCAAATGGCCATTTCAGGTTGTCTTTCTTTGATTTGATCTCCGTACCCATCGTTCGAGTGGAGGACCCTGTAACTCCGTTTGCAACTTTTCAAACATCTGCCATACCTCATTTTTCCTTTTGGCAAACTAGTCACTGCAATTTCTTGAAAACTTTCTTGATTTTTCTGGAAATTTCTGGATTTTTGTAATCTGTGCAAAATACTGCACACAGATCCCAAGCTCTACAGTTGGCGGTTTCCCGTTCGTAGAAATTACGTGGGAGCGGAAATTTTGAAACACCGCAATGAAGATACGTGGTTTCGTTCTTTAGCCATCGACATCGTCGCGGTTAGGTATCCCAGATCCCAAAAAGCACTGTATGCAATGAATTGCAATTGCATCCTTACATTATTGCCATCGTATCGAGGTGCAATGTATGCTATGTCTCATTACTCATTGAAGGGTTTCTTCCACTGAAATTTACAGAAATAAGTAGCAATTTTTTGCATTTCAAATTGCTGCGGGCCTTTCCCACGCATGGAGCCAATGGAGAAGTTGCACACAAAAATGTTATTGCTTCATCTGAGAGTGCCTAATGAGCTGAGTTCGCAGTATTTTTCACACTTTTCTGACATGGGAAATTGGAGAAGAATAGATTTAAAAGAGAGAAAATGTGCCGCCTTGCGACGTCATATGCTGGCATTTTACATTTAGACACATATATTTTAGCAGATTAGGTTATTTTGTCATGTTTCTCCAAATATTGTTCAATTTAGAAACCAAGGATTTTCTAGTAGGTACTCAGGTTTCCTAGCAGTATTATTTTAAAGGTGAAATTCACAAAATTTGAGACACCCGCAAATTCTCTATAATACTGATCGTTTAAAATCGGCATTCATTGACCAAATGATGTAAAAATATTGCAATTTTATCGCATTAAACTGCAAAATTATTTCAATATTTTCATTGCATCGTGGTGCTTGGGCGAAAGAACGTTGTGTAACATTTCAACGCTGTGAAATTTCCAGGCTTAAATTTTAAATATATGAGGGAACTGTTGAACGTTTCTGACTGAAAAAATTTCACTTAATTTTAGTTTTTGACATCATCCAAAAATCGGCAAAGTTTTAAAATGCAAGTGATGCAGTGCGTTATTCTCGGAAACAATGAAGGACTTTGAGTCAACTTTGTGATCTTTGAACGGAGTTACGTCCCTTCGTCTGATGCGTTTCCTCCATTAGAACGATTAAAAGTCTCTGGTGGTCTATTATTCTGATATTGAATAGGAAAGCAACCTAAATGCCTCCTAAACATTTTCTATAATTATTCCTGAATGAAAAAAAATAATGATAAATCACTGAATAGGAAAAAAACTGTATGTTAAACCGTGGTAAAAAAAATTGAATATCAGCGGAGATATATCAAAAGGCAACCGGAGGTACCAGGGCCGGATTTACCTACTTGCCGCCCGTGGGCCGCCTGTATTTTGCCGCCTCCATTTTGCCGCCTCCTTCTCATTCGTTTTGAAACATCAATAAAAACCATCAAATGAACGTGCCAGCGGGGGAGGGGTGCATAAAACGCGTTTACATGTGTTGAACACATTTTTTGGGAAGGCCCTGTCAACACTACTAGCAAAAGTTCACGGAACTTTGCGCGAAAGTTAATTCTCGTAACCCTATCCCTAGGTGGACAAGGCCTTCCATGTATATGAAATGAACGAAAAAATTATGAAAGAACAAACATAAATGTGGATTAATGATTTTAACTTCCGCCGCCGCGCCGCGCAGACCGCACCGTGTTTGGCGCAATGCGTGAAGTATTCCGACAGTCTTGTAGGCACTATGCGTTTCACGCCGAGCGCACTGTTTGCCGCAATGCGTGAAGTATTTGTGCAGTCATGTAGGGGCTAATATGTGTTACACGCCGATCACCGCTCCGAGGGCTTCTCCTTTTCATCTCAAGTCCTCGTCATCGTTTCTCTCTAAGTCGCGCTGTTCCTGGGCAAATTGCGTGTTTGGTTTCTCTCTAAACTCTACTAATTAAAGGTGCTGTCTCTTTTATCACTGAAAGACGACAAAAGTAGAAATAATAATATAATAATATATAGCTTTATTTGTTGTTTTGTGCACATGGCTTTTACAAATGCGTCAAACTTTCAAAACAAAAAACAAGAATAAATATATAAATAACGACAATGATTTCAACCTGTCCCGTTTATGAAGTCGTTGATGGAATAGGGACATTGCTCAAGTAGATATTGCCTGACCAGGGCATTGTGGCTTCGGGGCTCATCTTTAATCTTTTTCTTTGTTTGGTGCGGTAGTTTACAGAAAAAGTTATGGCCTCGAGCCGCTGTTTTATTAATTTTTATGATTAGACTTTCTGTTCTGTTTCTGGTGTTGTGGTTGTGCAATTTTACACAATTTTTAATTTAATTTAATTTTACTACAATTTTTAATTAGTTATTTTGAAGCTAAACTTCTGAAATAAAAAAAGAGAAAAAAAAACTCTGCAGAATGAAGTTGACTCCTACCTGTCATAATAGTCCTTCCCTCACAGCATGTGTGTGTTTGTAACGCTGATCTAGTAAGCCAGCAATAAAATTCGCGAGAACTGTGCCATCTTTCCGTTTCCGTATGTAAGAATTGGAGTGCTTACTGCCATCGCGTGCAAGGGATCAGAAGGAAATAAAATCCACCTACACATCTACTTCCGCGACCCACTCGCAAGTTCGACAATGTCGTGCCGACAAATTTTTGCATCACCTTGGATTGCCAAGATGTGCAAATTTGGCCTCGATGTAGACAACCTAATCTCGTAGATGCTATTGAGAGACTAGAACGTAATCATAGGATTGTACTTTCCAATTAGAAAATAATCGCATGCTTAAAATTAAAAATTGCTTCAAGAGAGCAACTTGTAAATCAATCGGAAATTATGTAGAACGCTACTTTTTCAGCAGAAGGAGATTGATTTGTGCACGGGAAATGCATATAACATGAACTTATTGATAAATATCGGGTACCGAGAAAACGTAAATTTTAAAAAGCATTGGTGTAAAAAATTCAAATGCTTTTGCTCACCGTTGACTGGACAGTTCATATCCGTTTTGTTAAAATAGTTTTAAAATTGAGAGAGCCCAATTTTTTCTTTTAGAGGCCGATTTTGAAAAGCCGAAATAATGACTAAACCCCAGGCGCAACAAAAATATTAAAATTTACAGTATACACTCTTGTCGTGTCTGATTTGTGTCTATATATTTAGCATCTGATTAATTTGAACTCTGTGGAAAACGACTGAGGTACGAAAAAATTATTCAAGGATAATCAGAATTTTATCCCATAAACCTGACCAACTAATCGACTATGCGGATGTTGGTTTTAAAATTGAAATTTTTCTGCGTCTGCAGGAATGGTTGGTTTATTTATTTATTTTATTTTTATTTTTATTTTTTTTTGTGTGTCTTTGAACTATTACAATCGTGTTAATTTGAAAGGCAACCAAAGCCTTAGTTAGAGTCGCATGCGACGGATAGGTACTAAACGAATGCCGTCATGACGCTTGAATGCAACTATCCGATTACCAATGGATGTCCGTGTTGCATACGCACGGAAGAGAAGGCGTTTTAACACCAGGCGTTAATCGCCTCACCAGCAATAAGCCTCGGCAAATGAGTCAATGAGAGGAGTCGGACAAAATTTGGAAACATTAAAAGCTCATATCGATACTAATACTGAGCGTAGAGGATTAGAAGTGGTTGGCTTGCTCTTTTTGAAAAAATATCCTTTGAAAAGCACCCCATTCTAACGCGAAGAAATGAACATCGAAATTTGCAGTTTCCTGTTGCCCGGAGGGCTTGACTGCGAGGATCTAGAAATGACTGAGGGCCTTTAACTCTTCATCTATACTTGGAAGATATCTCTTAGGCTTAGGCATGAGCAGTTGCTCTACAAATCATGCTCGATGCATCGCGATTTCAAAACTGGAGCACAAAGATACTCGCATCCTACGCATGTATGCCACTAAAGCCTCTACGATTTTTTTATCTTTGTTATTGAAAGCGCTTTTCCATTTTGGATCCCTGCAATTAAGTCCGCCGCCGCGCCGCACAGTGCGGCATCCTTATGGACGATGCGGGCGAAAATCGGTAAAAGACACTTAACTTTAAGTATTGAAGATAGTAGCGCCGACGTAGGAAAACCCTTTGGCACAATGAAAGTAAAACTCTCAAAGAATAAGAAAATGTTATATCTCAGGATTTTTTTGCGGATTTTTCGAGCAAATAGTTCATTTGAAGGTGGCAACCTCAAATCAGTCTAATGTTAACATTACAAAAGCAACGCGAAACACCCAAACTTTAACTTCAAATATCTCTGATAGTCGCAAGAATTTTTTCGTAGGATTGAAGTTGCATATCTGAGGATTGACAAAATGTCAACCACCCAGAGCATTTTGCGTTTCAAGTGAGGAATCTTCATTTGAAGTTGACGTCTTTTTCCCGTGTAAGTATTTTTTATGAACCAGTGCTCGACCCATTTCACGCCCACTTTCAACTCAAATTTGAAGTAGTTTTGAGTGAAAAATTAGAAGATGAACCATCATTGTGAGTCGGAAGTATCTTTAAGATGACAAACTCCAAAGAAATTACTCAGATGTCGAGTTATGAATTTTTAATTTTTGTCTACAGAGGGCCGCACTGTGTTCCGACGCACAGTGAATCGAGTCAACGGGAGAGGTCGGCCAAAATTTGGAAACTTTAAACGCTTATAACTCCGTTTATACAAAACTTTGAGGTTCCAAAAGCGGTTCCATTGGTTTTCTAGTGAAATTTTCTTCCTACAGCACCCCTTAAAACGTAGAATGTGACGAAATAATCATCAAAATTTGCAGTTTTAGTCAAAAATTTCATGTCCGACTTCTCTAATTGACTCGATTCACTTTGCGGCGCCACGTCGTGTCTCGTAGCAGGCCGCGGGTGGAGTGGCGAGTGCCTGGACAGTCAAAGCGCCTTCACTCCCGTGCGCATGCAACATGGCCATCCGTGGAGTTCCAACACTTGTATCAAGGAATTAAAATGAAAGGGGTTTATTCAAAAACGGCAGAAAGGTCCCTATAGGGACTTCAAACAATTGGTTCAAAACCATGCTATAGCATGGTTTTGAACCAATTTCGGGTATGTTATTCTACTAGATTGCATACGCCTTTCTGCAAAATTTTAATTCCTAAAACGATTTTTTTCGGCGTAGTAGCATTGCCAAGTGTAAAACGGTAAAGTTCCATATCTGTTGAACGAAAAAAGATTTTGAAGTCTAGTTTGCGCGAAAATTCTTCTGAAATACGTCCTCAACTACTACGTCATTAAATTGGAGGTTTTGTGAATTTAAACTTGCAATGTTGTCATTTTTCATTTTTTGCCGTGATCGATTTTTTTTTAAAAAAATTATAGCACATCGTCAAGTGCCTCTTTTTGAGACAGAAATCTGAAAAAATGGAAAAAGTTATAAAACTAGTTTTATTCATTTTTTTTACGTTTCCCCTAAAAACGTGCACATTTTTCAGTCTAAATTAGGTCTTACTCAAGTAGAATTGAAAAAAAAAAACCTAACAATGGCTCAAAAATGGCAAGAAAGGACCAAAAGGCAACTAAGTATTCATCTGAGGCCTTTTTAAAGGCCAAAAATGGAAAGCATGCAAAAAAAAAATACGTACGAATGTCCGCGTCAAACTTGTTAGTGGCAAGGGTGGGGTGTGCAGACGATTCCGAGCGCCCGGATTCGGCGCGTGCAAAGCGTAAACTTTGATAGCTTATAACTCGCGTACCAATCGTTTTCCTAGGAGGTATAACATATCAAAAGAAATGGCACAGTACGAATAATAGAATGAACAGTTGTTTGTTTGATCTCATGAAGGCATTTGACGATGTACTATATAATTTTATAAAAATCGATCATGGGACAAAATGAAAAATGGCAACATTGCAAGTTTAAATACACAAAACCTCCAAGTTAATGATGTATTAGTTAAGGACGTATTATAGAAGAATTTTCGCGCAAACTGCACTTCAAAATCTTTTTTCGATCAATAGGTAGATATGAAACTTTACAGTTTTACAATTGGCAACTTTGCTGAGCTGTTATCGTTATAATCGTTTTAGGCCTTGAAATTTCGCAGAAAGGCGTATTCAACATAGTAGAATAACATACTAAAAATTGGTTCGAAACCACGCTAGGGACCTTTTTGCCGTTTTTGAATAAACCCCTTTGTATAACTTTCGTCGCGTTCGCTACTAATAGCGCTTTACTTGCTTCCTCCACTATCACTTAATTCCAGCAGGGCCGGATTAAGGGGATGGCCACATGGGCCGCGGTCCATGGCGGCAAATTTCGAGGGCGGCAAAGTTTGCAATCTTGTTAAATGTGGGTATAAAAAAATTCGGATTCAAAAAAAAATTATCAATGAGAAACGGGGACGAAATCTCTCTTTCCTGAGAGAAAAGTAATTTCTAATTTTGTCGTTTTTCGGTAATACAAGAGACAGCATCTTTAATTAGTCGATTTAAGAGAGGAATTAAACACGTAATTTGGCCTGAAGCTCAGCACAGAGAGTAATGATGACGAGGACTTGAGATGAAAAGGAGAAGCCCTCGGCGCGGCGATCGGCATGTAACACATATTAGCCCCTACATGACTGCACAAATACTTCACGCATTGCGCCAAACACAGTGCGATCGGCGCGGCGCAGCGGCGAAAGTTAAAATTATTAAACCACATTTATGTTTGTTCTTTCATGCTTTTTTGGTTCATTTCTTAAAAATGGACGACCTTGTAGCTTGAGATCCTGTGTCAATAATGATTAAAACTAATAAGATGATTTTCCGTTTGCGGTTGTTTCAGCTTTACGCGTGGAGGTGCTGCTTGTGTGGGTGATAGTGGGGGAGAGGACGAGTTGGGCCGACGACAAGTGGGTATGGGGCGAGAAGAGCAGGAGTCGCGGCCGATCCGGTGAATCCGCTCAAAGGGATCATGAGCAAGTCTCGAGAGAGAGCCTCGAGTACGATCGACAACTCCAAGGGATCTACAGCCACGAACGACCCGCCTACAACGACAACGTTTCCAAACAAACCATCGACATCCTTTCCAACTATGAATCAAAGTACGTTTACCCTAATTCCGTTTTTTACCCGTACGTTCATCTTCATCGGGAAAGAGGATCAAATCGACAACGTTGACGTTAGCTATACAGGCTTATCCAAAAGTCACCTACCACCCCTGTAACTTTTTTCCTAATCGAGATACAAGTTTGTAACTTTGGCAATGTTCCTCGGTCTAAAGTAGCAACTTTTTGGTCCCCCCAAAATTTTGGGGGACAGCCCTCCCCCCCCCAAGAGGGGCCGGAGCTACCTTTTTTTTCAAATGGCAATTCCCCTCTTGTGGTACCTCATTCGAAAGGTAATAAAAAAAATAATCCGTATAAAAAAAATAATTCGTATAAAAAAAGTATAAAAGCACAAGTTGCAGCCCATAAACATTGGGGATATAGTTTGTTGATTTTTACGTAAATTTTACGTTTTCTTTTAATTATTATAACACTATTTTTATTTAAAAGAATGCCCCAATAGGGTTTCCTAAAACGAGTATTTTAAGAGTTTTTTTTTACTTAAAATTTACGAGTTTTTTTTACATTGTTTTGACAACTTTTTGTGGAATTTTTTAAGAGCCATTGCTATTAGGGTTGGCACTTGATTTTGTCATGTTTTGTTTGCAGAACCCGACCCGAATCCGACTACCGATACGAGGTGTACGAGAACAGTGGATTGGCAGACACGAGACCTCCACCCTACCGACCGGTAGCGTTCGGCTCGCCAAACCGACCGGTCGTTCCGCTACCCTCGTCAAATCGGCCGGGGGTGTCACTACCCTCGCCGAACCGACCGGTGGCGGCGTTGGCCTCGCCAAGTCGCCCAGTTCCAGCGGCGTCCATCTTCGCCCTACCCGCGAGGCCGGTTCCCGTCGTGAGCAGACCGAGCGCGCTGCCCATCACGCTGCCCTCCCCGGCCGGCTCCAGGCCGAACCCCAACTTTGCTGGACCCCAGGGTGCCGCCTCATCGGTGGGAATTCTTACAGGTCCCGTGCCCTCCTGGGAGAACGCCCAGAGCACTCATAAGAACGGCGACCCTACCCAGTTTGAACGCTGCAAGTGCTCCTTCTCCTTCAACTGCAAAGCGCCTGGCATTCAGTTTGTAAGTGCTTCAGTTCATCTCCCGAAATGTACCCGGGTGGTTTCACCATTGCTGGAAGAGTTTTGTCCCCGTAACAGACAGCACATTTTCGGCCATTGACATATTAAAATTGAAAAGTAGAACGATGCATTTTTGAAAAGCTCTATAACAAATAATTCTACCGGGTGTCCATAAAGTAACTGAAAAGTGGGTATAATTTTTGAACAAAAAAAGATAGAAGGTCGCGGTTTGTGGCATTCTTCATCATCCAGAGGGGGAAATTTTTTGATGGGGGGTTTTTCTTGGTGGACCCCCCTGGGGGGCCCCAAGGGGGGCAACTTTCAAAATTCAAATAGCAACCCCCATTTTTTAGACATGGTTAAAAAAAACTCAAAAAGACAAGAAAAATGACGCAAATAAAATTAAAATCGGTTCACTCGTTCAAAAGTTACAGCCGGTCAAAATTTTAAATTGACCACTTTTCAAAAAATCACCGTTGAGCTCCCAATTGCCGAAAAAACAAAAACAAACCTGGAATGAAAAGTTTGAAAAGTGCCCTTTAAGGCAAGGAAAACCAACTGACGTTGTCACAAGTTTGGATGGCATTGTTTCAAAATAAAATTTCGGAAAATTCAACATGGCGGCAAATTTGAGGAAACGCGAATAATGAAAATTCCAGAAACTGTTATCTTTCAAATACCCTCTAGTTTAAGGAAATCAATGGTATCAACTTTTTTTCCTTTATTTGGCCAAGTAAGAGCAATAATTTGCTGACTTGAAAGTTGGCAAGCGGGACCCCTTCAATCGTCGGAGTATGCGACATCACATGCACAGGATTAAGTGTGCTGTCAAAAAATGAAGCCGATGTGAAAAAGCGCTCCTCCTTTGGGATGCTTTAGTAATGTTCAAGGTCCTCATTCTCAAAAAAGAAGAAGAGAAAAATTGAGCAATTTTTTTATTTTTATTATTTTTTAAAGTGGAAGTTCTTATACCTGATGCTCTGTTATTCCGTCAAATGTTCAAAGTGATCTTCATTTTGCTGCAAACAATAGTAAATTTACAATAGTAATTGCCAACTTAATCGGAACGCAGTATGATCAAGAGAACTTAGCATACTGATTTCAGATTCGTAAACAGTGTTACCGATCAGATATTGCATCAGATATTACCTAAAATATCGGTTCCTCAAATCATGAGGTTGAGGCTGTCAATAAGATAATCTCAACTCAGATAATAATCAAGAGTATAACGGCGTTTTCGGAATTGAAAGCGTAGCAGATACCCATCTTGCCAACTCGGAGTGCCAGGAATTAGAGAATCACAATTATTCTTGCGTTTGTAATTTTCAGATAGAGAAATGTCAAAAATGTCAACCGCCCCTACCCCATCAGGATATACCATGTTTTTTTTGGCTCACCAAGTTTGTGGGTAAAAATTGCTTAATTTCTCTTTTCTTATTTTTTGAGGATGAGGACCTTGAACATTTCTAAAGCATCCCAAAGGCGGAGCGCTTTTTCACATCGGCTTCATTTTTTGACAGCACACTTGGACTGAGTTAAGCAGAAAGGAACCAACCCACATTTTGGAAAAAAATGAGTTATGAGTGGTTTTAAACTCAACCACTGCTCTACTATCAATCGCCAAAAATTCAAAGTTTTTGTTGGAGCAAATTTTGCAGAAATCGAACTTGAAGTTTATCTTTTACATTGAGTCTTATGCAGGAGCCAAACTTTAAACCTCCTTTTCTCGGTTCGATCCCGATGTGGCTTGGTTCCTTTCTGTTTAACTCCGTCCACTTAATCCTGTGCATGTGATGTCGCATACTCCAACGATTGAAGGGGTCCCGCTTGCCAACTTTCAAGCCAGCAAATTATTGCTCTTACTTGGCCAAATAAAGGAAAAAAAGTTGATACCATTGATTTCCTTAAACTAGAGGGTATTTGAAAGATAACAGTTTCTGGAATTTTCATTATTCGCGTTTCCTCAAATTTGCCGCCATGTTGAATTTTCCGAAATTTTATTTTGAAACAATGCCATCCAAACTTGTGACAACGTCAGTTGGTTTTCCTTGCCTTAAAGGGCACTTTTCAAACTTTTCATTCCAGGTTTGTTTTTGTTTTTTCGGCAATTGGGAGCTCAACGGTGATTTTTTGAAAAGTGGTCAATTAGTCCAGTCAATAGGGGGTAAAGTAGAGACAATTTCTGAGGAAACTTTCTGATATACTATTCCTATGTATTTTTCATCGCTGAATCCGAATTTCATATTTGCGAAAAGATCTGAGGCGAGCCAAAGCCGCCATCTTGAAAAAATGGCCGAAATTTGCGTTTTTCGGCCAAAAAACGGAAATAACTCGTATATTATGGAAATTACGGCAAAAGTAGTTATTTTCTAAATTAAAGTACATACAATTTCCATTAAAACGAGTCCAAGATGGTTAAGATCGGATGATAACAAATGCCGTTACAGCGTTGCAAAGTTTCAGGCAATTATTGAAGTTAGGCAATTTTCGTAACTCTCCCTGCAAAAAGAGAGCTTTCAAGGCAATTAATCATTAAATCGTAGTAAGAGTAAGTAAGTATGAATGATAAAAGGAGTGCAATTTTGAGTTCTTGACTTTCAAGAACGGCAGTGATGGGGGGGGGGGGGGGTGTCCGTATAAGCGCAGCTGCAGGGTCCTCCGTTCCTCCCCCATTTTCATGGCCCGGGTGCGGCCGGTCGGCCTTCTTTCTCCAGTTATTAGTTTTCCTGTCCTCGACAGACGCCCTATCCGGACATAAACTTGATGTGCCTACGTAAAGGTATATTCGCTGATTACAACATTAGCTGCCATCGAGCCAAAGAGACAGGCACTGCTAGCTTATGTCAAAAATAGGTCAAACTTTTGAGTCCGTTAAGTTTAAGCGCGCCGACCGCTGCGCTGTGATCCAATCAGTAGTATGAGGAGTTTAATTTGAATTGAAAACGATGCTGTTGCAATAAACCCTCTCATATTATTTCGGTGCATACTTATCATTAAAAAATCAGATGAGGAGCTTCAAAATTTTTAGTCGCACGAACTTCCACCCTATCCATTCTTGCTATTTATCGCAGCAGATGTCATGAGTAAAGCTACAATGTCTACATTTTATAATGCATTTACACCGTGTCATGGCTCCCTCTGCGCCCCACTGCCTCTTGTTTCATCCACTTGTCAATCTCATCACTTCTCTGCATTTCATTGTCATCGTCCAAACATTCAGTGTCTTCTGGATCGTCTACGTCATCTCCTTCTCCTTCCATTGAAAGTGCGTGTTATTGACTATTTTCGCACGAGCCATGGCAATACCCGCCAACAAGACTGCAAGTAAGGCCTTTCTTCCGAAAACCGCGGGCGCCGCGACTTTCTTCAATGTACTTGCATGAGATCTTGCTTAAAATTTCGCCCGTAGCGGGATTTTAAAGGTAATGCCTACCCTATGGGGATGAGGCCATTTTTGCTATTCTTCCACCCCCTGTCACACGCGTATTTCTTGATGCTCATCCATTGCTATGTATTTGAGAATAGGAGCATGAAATGTGGCAGCGTCCTCTGAAGGTGGAAGACAAGCGAGATTTTGTACATTGTGGAAAAAAGTCGGAATATAGCTTTCATACCTAAATTCAGCCAAAGTTTTCTCTGCTCACCCTTGAAACCATATAACCGGAGTAATAATTTATTTTCCTGCTTTAGAAATTTCTTCTTGCTTTGAGCCTGATTTTTTAAGCATCTGAGCTGCTGGTTCACTTATTAAAGCTGAGTTGTTCCCCAGGGTTTGCTAAAAATTTAACTTTGATTTGCCTGAAGAGTGATGATGTTAAGTGATGATGTTGTGTCACTCCCTCTAATGACATGAATGAACGGTATGTGTTCGGCTTTCACTCCATTTTCAAGGCTGCCTCGGTTGAAAAGTATTTAAGAAGTCTCACCTTTGCCTGATTTTAGAGGGAAAGCATTTTTGACGTTACTTGACTGAGCTGTAAGGAGGACAAGGAGGTCAATATCTTTTCCTACAATTACAGCAATTTCGCCCTGTTTTGCAATTTTCAAAGCCTTTGAAACTTTGATTGTGTCAGTGACTTCTTCTGCTCGAAATACAGACATGCTCTCAGCCCTGAAACGTTTCATGAGCCTTTGGATCAAACAGGATTTGTTTTCGCCGTTTTTCAGAAAATTTGCTTGTGATGTTACTGGGACCATACTTTTATGGAATTTTATTTCCACTGATGAAACTTATCCTCTTCGCCATCTTCCAGGTGTTTTCGAGCTGCATCTTGTAATATCCTTGGGATAGCCGCCGAAAACGATCACAGAATTAGCGGAATACACATGGTTGTTGCATCTTGATGAAAATCCTCATTTTGTCTCCAAATCACTCGATGGAGCAAAATACGGACATTTATGATATACGTAGGATTCTTGTAATCAATTTTATCTACACACGGTGTAAATGTATACCATAAAATGTGAAATACACATGCCGTCTGCTAAGGTCAACAAAACGGTATAGGGTGAGAGTTCGACAAAAAATGTTGAAGTTCCTCAGCTGATTTTTTATTAACAGGTATGTGCCGAAATAATAAGAGAGGTTTCATTGGAACAACATCCTTTACAACTCAAATTGAACTTCTAACCCAGAGAACGAAGGCCGACCGGCCGCACCCGGGCCATGAAAATGGGGGAGGAACGGAGGACCCTGCAGTTGCACTTATACGGACCCCCCCCCCCCCATTATCCACTGCCGTTCTTGAAAGTCAAGAACTCAAAACTGCACTCCTTTTATCATTCATACTTACTCTTACTACGATTTAATGATTAATTGCCTTGAAAGCTCTCTTTTTGCAGGGAGAGTTACGAAAATTGCCTAACTTCAATAATTGCCTGAAACTTTGCAACGCTGTAACGGCATTTGTTATCATCCGATCTTAACCATCTTGGACTCGTTATAATGGAAATTGTATGTACTTTAATTTAGAAAATAACTACTTTTGCCGTAATTTCCATAATATACGAGTTATTTCCGTTTTTTGGCCGAAAAACGCAAATTTCGGCCATTTTTTCAAGATGGCGGCTTTGGCTCGCCTCAGATCTTTTCGCAAATATGAAATTCGGATTCAGCGATGAAAAATACATAGGAATAGTATATCAGAAAGTTTCCTCAGAAATTGTCTCTACTTAGCCCCTATATGTGCTCTATTGACTGGACTAAATTTAAAATTTTGACCGGCTGTAACTTTTGAACGAGTGAACCGATTTTAATTTTATTTGCGTCCTTTTTCTTGTCTTTTTAAGTTCTTTTTAACCATGTCTAAAAAATGGGGGTTGCTATTTGAATTTTGAAAGTTGCCCCCCCCCTTGGGGCCCCCCAGGGGGGTCCACCAAGAAAAACCCCCCATCAAAAAATTTCCCCCTCTGGCTGATGAAGAATGCCACAAACCGCGACCTTCTATCTTTTTTTGTTCAAAAATTATACCCACTTTTCAGTTACTTTACGGACACCCGATATGTAGATTAATGCAAAAAAATTCTAGTTACCTATTATCATCACTTGTAAAAATATGACCGAAAAACGTGTTGTCTGTTACGGCGACAAAACTATTCCAGTTATCGTGAAACCACACATTAGCACACGAATTAAAAGATTTGTGTTCTTGTGTTACTTATGATAATCATAGGAAGTGAGACACACACCAACCCAAATTTTGTGTTGACTTTAGGGCAGGTTGCGGTGAAATTAGCGCAGAAAACAATAGAGAGACTGGGAAACCTCAGAGTTACTGCTGAGAAACATGTGCTGCTACCAGGGTCGACGGATAAACTGTGCCATTTCACGCATTAATGGAACTTAATATGAACCGGCTCATCTTTGATACTTTACAGGGCAATTGCGATGTAGGGAAACAGTACTGTTGCTACAACTCAAAAGGCGGCGGCTCAAGCACGCATGCCGGATTTGGGTCTCATCTAGACGTAGACCGAACCGATGGGAGCAACGGACAGTTACCGGCCATCCTCGCTGGTCCGGGAGGGCCCGTCGACAACTACAACTTGGACGCTCCAGGTCCTGACGCCTCTGTAGATTACCCCGGAGCCGGAGCCGGGCCCTTCACCAAGGTAAGCATATTCTTCATGAAAGATAGTACTTACCTACTATATTCGCTAGTTTCATCATGTAGAATTGCCCGCGTATTCCTATCAAACAGAACTATGTGCAAAGGGGAAGATGGGGTGTGCTCGTTCGTGCTCGGGCCATAGGAATGAATGGGAAATATAAAGCGCCAGTGACGTCAGCGGCCACGACGAGAGAAACGATGATCGGGAAGGCGGCTTTTAACTCATGAGCCCTGTCCACAAGGCTCTAGATACATGTCGCGGGTTCCGCACTTACAATTAGTTGGCTCACAGTTCCGTTTGCTGAGTTGGAGAAGCGGGATCTCACGTTCTGTCAAACGGAACTATGCGCACAGTGTATGAGCCGTGGGCATGCATCTAGAGCCTTGTGGACAGGGCTCATAAGTTAAAGGCCACCCTCCCGATCGTCGTTTCTTTCGTCGTTGCCGCTGACGTCACTGGCGCTTTATATTTCCCATTCATTCCCATATGGCCCGAGCACGAACGAGCACACTCCATCTTTCCCTCTGCACATAGTTCTGTTCGATAGAAATACATCAAATTGTAGAACATGGTTGTTCTATTCTAGGACCTATAAAAGGAACCTGAGTCCAAGTAACAGTCATCGCGACGTAAGCAAGCGCGATTCGATCGGAGTAGAGTATGTACCGCGATTTTATTGACGCCGATTTATTGCAGTATTATTGGACACAAAATGGCGATACATTGCAATTTTATGACATTAATTTGCAGTGGAATCGCGATGTTATCGACGTCGATTTACCTCAGTATTATTGAACAAAGAATAGTGGTAAATTGAGATAAAATTTCGAATTTATTGAACGCGCTTTTTGAGAGATAAAATTGCAACAAGATTGAGGATAATCGCTCAAACGTTGATGATCCTGGAGATTTGACCGTCGTAAAAAATCGCAACTTTATTTCAAAATATCGCGATTTTTCAGTTTGAAAATGCTACGGGGGGAGGGGGGGGGGGTTAGCAATCTGTTTGGCCACCTCCAGAAAATATGAGAAATTTTGCTAAATAAGCGGGAACATCTTCCATCTTTGGAATTGTACCTCAATCAACCTCAGTACAGACAAGGCACACTGGAGAAAAACTCCGGCTGTGGGAATCGTACTTACGGGCCATATAGACATACCTTCTGCGTTCCGGGCTCAGAGGCCGAAAGTTCTCGGCGTAGCATCCGGAGCAGTCGAAGCTACGACTCCAGCACTCGGGACGTTCGGTCTCTGAGCCCGGAACGGACGGCATGTCTATATATCCCGTATTTTTTTCAGTGTACGAATTTATGCATCTTGAGAATGTTTCTTAACCCAAACATGCAGAACACGATTCGTGCAACGAAAATTACAAAGCCTATATAACCTCTAACAAAGGTATTTAATGTTTCTCGACGTGTAAACTTAAGCCATCCGCTCAAAAAAATCAAATGTTTGCGTGATTCCAATCGCGCATTAAACGTCACCGTAAGAGTCTCTCCAGTATGAAAAAATGGCAAGCCCGATTAGGGTGCTTTAGCTCATCTATGGGACGTTGTCTAGAATTTGAACAACAGAGGATAAAGAAGGAAAAATGCTAACTTAGAAGCCTGCCAAAACCATCGTCTAGTGCGGGTTTTGACTCACGTATAGAGGATCGTTTTTCTTGTGAGCGGGCAGTTCAAATTTTCAGCAACCACAAAGAAATAAAACGACCATCATAGTTAGGAGTTGATTTCAGTCATTTTTGTTTCGTGAATCGTCTTCTGCGTGAAATTTTGTCCAGGAAACATATTGTAGAATGCTTTAATTCGTATTTTGTCTACTGCTCCATTGCTCTCGAGAAACTTTTTCAAAATTTTTCCGAGAAGGTTCTCTGCCAATGCAAGAAGCTTCCTGAATAGGGAGAGAATATCCATCCCTCCTATCCACATAGAGGCCGTCCAAAAATTACGTCACCCACCCAGGTGGAGGGTAGGTCTGGGATGAGTGACATGTAGGTGCCACCGATGGAAGGGGGGGGGGGTCATGCAAAAGTGACGTCGTCGTATCCTGACAGGGTGTAATCATGAAAATGCAAAAGCGTAGCATTTCTAAACATGTTCAAAAGAAAGGAGAAACCTCTACTTCAGAGACTTAAACGATCGGTTAGAAAAGTAGAACAGTAATTTGCGTATACGTTTTATGAGAATAGAACAAATGGTGGTGCGCAACATTCTGGCTCTCGATTGGTGAGGGAACCTTTACTCCAGGGACTTGAACGATCGGGTATGAAAATAAGTAACAAGGTAATTTTATACTTTGTTACGACTTATCGTAATTCATTTAAGAATGACTGGCGATGTGTACATAAGTATAGTTTATTTTATATTTAATTGAATAATGCAATTCTCATTTACTTCCAACTCCTGTTTCATTACATTGTTTACATAATTAATTTATTAACTTTATGTAAATGTAATCTACTTCAAATGTATGATGATCATGTGTTGACTTGAGTTACAAACGGAATATACTTTATCGGGAAAACTGTGAAACTGTGAACATTCATAACGAAAGAAGGAGTGGATTTTATACTATACCAGGGACGCGAACGCGATACGATGATGTCTGGAAAATCGGACGAGTGAACACCATAATCTCGTTAGGGGCAACACAACACTATGCCGTGATAAGGAAAAACGCCGTATGAACATTCGAGTGTTGCCAAATTCCCTTCGATAAAATGTTTATTTTCGAGGAAAGCTAATATTTTCCCTTGAAATTTTCAGGGACTTTAGTTGGAATTGCGAACACAAATTATCTGAAAATTTTGAGAAAAAATATTTACAATTTTTCCCAAAAATTCCTGAATTACCCAAATCAATTTAGCAACTCTGAAGGTTCATACGGCGTTTTTCCTTAGCACGGAAGAACAACCCTCGAGACCACGACTTTGCACGCTAGAGATCGCTGCCCATCTGGCCATCGAAATTTCAACCGCGAGGATTCGGCATCTAGAGTGCAATATTTTTATTTTTTAAACAAGTTTTTCCAATTAAATTTTTAGATTCTTGGTAAAATTTCGAGGAAATTGGTGGTAAAGATATGGAAAATCATCTTATCTAGACGTTATACTTGAGTCATTCCCTACACCTACGGAAAATAGAGGGAAGGAGATAAGTTTGAAACGATGTAATTTTAAGGGGGATGGGTCTGGGGAGATGAGTGACACGTAAATGGCAAAAGAGAGGGAGGGGTAAAAAATTCGGGGAAATGAGTGACGTAATTTATGAACGGCTCCATACTTGAATTAAGTGCGCGAAAATTCGTATAATAGAGGCGTAGCAGCTTTATTCCTCAAAGCAGCTTAATATCAACTGCTTGAAATTCATTCAGCATGTAGCCTGACTTTCGAAAGAAAAATCACTTCAAACGTGCTGCTTGGTCTATTTCAAAAGGGATTGGATCACCAGACAAGATTAGGAAGCAAACACATGAGCACCTAGTCATCAAAATGTCACATTCAGTACGACGATCCCAATGTTCAAAATTCAACTATGAGTAAGCGCTCTAAACGAAAAAGTGAGGATATTTTTGTAGAAACAACATTACCATTTTTTTTTTAGAGCAATAGCCTGTTATTGTTTCGACATTTGTTGATTATCGATTCAGTTAGAAATGGGGTATGTTCGCTAGAAGCGAAACATGTTAAACTGACCAATTCTAAATAGTTTTGAATTAATTTCCGAGTTCGAAGTATTCTGAGTAACATTTTGATCAGAACGGTGCACGTATATGTTAATCTTATTCTCATCTTGCCTGATGAGCCCATTGTAAACAAGTTTTGTACAGAGGTGTCAAACTCAAATTTTCAGCCTTTCATTCCCTCAAGGTAAGAACTGAGAGGTGAATATTCCAGGGCAAGCAAACGAGTTGAATCGTTAATAATATCTCGAGTGTATTTTATGTCTTAATTGCTTTTTTGATGTGAATATGTATGCGGATCGTTTCCCATCAGGAGTCCTCAAATACGGATCCTCAGACGCCATTTTTCACCAAACTGTGGTCATTTTTTGGTAACATATTTTAAATGACTGCCAGTGCACTGAGCTGGACTCAATGACAAGTTGCCATCTCGCCGATCAGTAAAGTTAACTAATTCATCAACTGATTCGCCACGACATAATAGCACTGATCAAATATAGTTTGCACTCACGTCTACTTGAATTTGCATGATTGCGCTTGTCCCCATATTTTACGTCATTTCTTTGTGAAGACAAGATTTTGTATACATATGTCCAAAAAAACCCTCGGGTTGGCAAATGAAATATTCCAAACAGATGAAACTGTTCAATGAATAAAATTTAAAGGAATGTACTTATCATCAAACGTCTAAAGATGGAATATCCTAAGAAGCTTACAAAATGAATCTTTTGACAAACCTTTTATGGTTACGGATTTAATGTTTACGAAATTTCTTGAATATTTCATTTTGAAACCACACCAAGTAACAATTTTTTATCACCGTCCAAGTTAACGTCTTCTTTGACATTTTAATCGACAGAATATGAATTGAATTATACATTTTGCAATAAGGAGCCACTATTTCTTGCCCATTTGAGAAATAACATACGTGCCACTGGTTTCCCTATGTAGGTATGTGCTTTTATGGGAGAACCAGAGATAGTGGGTCCTCATTGCAAAATGTAATCCAATTGTATTCTCAATTTATATTGTCTTATCCTAGTTGTGTACATATGAAAGCTTCGGATCCTGCACTATTTATCTATTTCCAGACCGAGTGCACAATTTTCTCTACATTCCGTTGCCACCATATTCCTTCTTTAACTCGTGCGTGTACAGCTCTCACTCTGTTTTTGCTCACGAATGCAAGCGCAAAATATCTTAAGCATGCAAAATTAACATGCTTCACTCAACTTCTGTCCCTAGTTTTCGCACCTGTAAGGGGAATTGGTCAAAAATAATGATTTCTGATGTGTCTCGTTATTTCTTACTATACACAAAAAAATACCCTGCTTTTGTCAATAATTTGGAAAGGTCACCATATAGAATCAGAGCTCAAAGATCTACAATTGGTAGGAGGTTAAAAGTTCTGCATCCCCTCCCCCCTCTTTTTGAAAACTCTCGATTTGGCAGGAATTTTGCTTTTCCTGATAAGATGAAATGATAGCCCTTCATGATTAAGTCAATTTTTTGGTTCTTTTATGGCCGCCAACGAGTATCTGATTAATTAGAGTTCAATCATGATGAACATTTCCTCCGCTCCCCTCCCCTCCTAAATCGTTTTCACTAGGACTTCATGCATGTATTGATATATCGACGGTGAAACTACCAAACCACGTATCTCGTTTGCGGTGTTTAAAAATCTCCGCTCACATTTTATTTTTTTGAAGTAGACCAAATCAATATCATTCCTTGAAATTTTCACAGAATTTTCTCCGCACGAAGAGGAAAAATCACGGAAATTTTCAAGACTGGACGTTAAGTAGCTTTTCATTTAAAAAATAAAGTATGACAGAAAGTCTGCGACGTCGCAAACCGAGATACGTGGTTTGGTAGTTTCACCGTCGATATAAAATTTTCTCACCAGAGACAAGAACCAATGAATTATGAGTTCCTCATATATCACTTGGATTGCAAATTGCAAAAAGGAACCAAGAGCATTCCAACGTTGCTAAGATTGTGTAGTTGACATTCTGAGCAATACAATTACTGAAATCACGCAAAAAATTGAATTTACTATGGTAATTTTCGTCATGAATTTATAATTTATTGGCATTAAAGATGAGTATTGTTTAAATGATCAGTCTATATTTGCAAGGTGAACAAAGTTGCACAATCTTAGCGAAATTGGAATGCTCTTGGTTCCTTTTTACAAAATGCAATCCATTTATGAGACATAGTGACGTGAAATTCTCAAACCACATATTTCGGCTTGCGACTTTGTAGGCTTCCTGTCTTTATTTTCACTTTATTTTTCAAATGAAGAACTATTCGACGTCAATTTTTGAAAACTTTCGTGATGTTTCTTTTCTACTAAACAAGACAAATTCTGGAAAAACTTTATGGAATGATGTCGAATTCTTCTCAAGAAAAAACAATAATAATAAATAGATAAATAGATAGATAAATAAATAAATAAATAATAAAAAAGGCTAACATTTGTACGCACAAGGTACGTGGTTTGGGAGTTTCACCGTTGGTATGATCTCGACCATAGGTCAAACTGTTTTTCCGTAAAAGAAAATTATATCAGCACTTATTTGAGACCAGATTCCTGGTTTGTGGAGTGTTAAAAATATCATTGACCTCCGGTGTACTTAACGTCTAACCATGAATAGATAATTCAGTGCTACTTCTCGGCCTCAATTAGACACTAGAAATGTTAAAATGGCACACCTAACGTATATGAATTTCATTTTTTTTCCAGAGACCAAACCCATTGAGGCCACCTCCACCTAACCGGGGTCCTCCGCCTCCTCCCTTCGGAGCAGGTCCACCGCCGCCTATTCCTCCCTCGCCTTTCGGAGGAAGACCGTCGCTGCCACCTCCCCCGCCACCCCCTAACGCGCCGGAGCCTTTCTTCCGACCCTACACAGGACCCCCTGTGCCCCCGGGACCTCCACTGCCTCCGTTGCCCTTCTACGATTACGTGTCTAGAACCTCCAACGTCACGAAAATCGTCTCGGAGAACGCCAGCAACAGTGAAGATCCTTAAACGACGATTAATCAATAAATTAAATGGTAGAATAAGTTGTGAAATTTGTAAATAGATTTGATTGATCCGGAAAATTAAGATATCCCCTGAACCACTCTCGTGAATTAAGTACTTGTAAATAATAATTGACCTGGACTGCTCACACATGAGTAGATGGAACTGGTTCAATTTCGTCGTATGGGTTTTTTTTTTTTTTTTTTTTTTTTTTTTTTTTTTTTTTTTTTTTAAATGTATTTATTTACTATTTTTTCTGTTAAAATTTTAAAACAACTCAATTAAGCTACCGAATTCGAATAAGATACTAATTCAAGATTAGCAATAATGCAAGCTACAAAATCGCCAACCCCGGTTTGACGTATTCTGTTAAGTTCTAATACACAAAATATAAATTATTTTCAGAATTAAACTTCTTGCTTCTTTGAAAATACATCAAGACGACAAGAATAGAAAGAGAGAACTAAGTTTCAAGACCAATACCTACTGCAAATATTGCCTCCTTGGTATAAAAGCTAAATTCAATTTTATACAAAGTAGAAAACGTTTCGTTAATGAACTTAATGGCCGTGCTTCGACTAAAGTCTCCCAAAAATTCTATAAAATTAAATAGAATAAATATGGTCTCATTTTTGAGCGCCGGTGTCCAATAATGGCGTTGGTATCGATATGCTTGAGTCATTTTAAAAATATCTGGTCAGTGCTTGATTTAGAAACTGAAGTAGTACTTCGATTTAAATTTTGCTCTATGTTTGTACAGATTTCTTAATTATTAATTTTTTGTAAGTGTGTTAAAACTCCCATTTTATTTTTAAATAAAAAAACTTACTTTTTAATGAAAAAATTGTGTACTTTATCAAACTACAGTACGTGACTTTCGTAATTCACCTACGTATAATTAATGATTATATACTAGACGCAGCCCACATTACAGGACGGGGAGAGCTGAGCACAATATAATATTCACAGACATAAATATCAGACTTTATTGTGCTGTAGTTTCGCCATTGCACCTGGGAAATCTTAAACGTGTATTTGGGCTTCAGATGTTACAAATTTCCTGTCACATTTCATTTTTCAGAGAGATGAATGGTCATCGTTTTTGTTCCAAACTCCGTGCGTTCCGTCAGGACTGTTCTTTGAAAATTTCGTACTCATTCGTCAAAATTTATATTCTCCGAAGGGGGGGGGGGGGAAAAAAAAAAAAAACAAAGGACGACTCGTTAAAATAAGTCAAAGGGACTCTACACATCATGCTCAGATATCTCAGTTTTTAGCTACTTCGAGGGTCCGCCACGTTGAAACACATTCAAAAAGTGAATTTCTCGGGCCAATTAACAATGTCGCGATAAAAATCAGTGATGGTTTATACTTCATTTGCAAAAGAGATAACTCTGAAACTAAGTTAATGCGTAAGAGGAACAATCGAAGCCGTAGTTAGAGTCGCATGCGACGGATACTAAACGAATTCCGTCATAACGCTTGGATGCAGATGGAATGCAACTTATATCCGATTTCCATTGGATGTCCGTGTTGCATACGCACAGAAGAGAAGGCGTTTTGTCATCAGACGTTAATCGCATCACCTGCGGCGCTCAGTGACTCGGCAAATGAGTCAATGAGAGGAGTCGGACCAGGGTGGCATGTCATGTAAGGAAGAAAAAAAAGATTGGAAATTTCAGTGAAATATTTCATGAAATTTCACAAAGCTGTGAAATATTCCATATTTTTCAGGGGCTAGAGTATGCAACCTGCACTTTAACACACAAAAACAGATGAAAGTCACAATTTTTACATTATGCCAATCATGAAAAGGAACCAGTATCTTTCAATATCTTTCACAAATTTCTGAAATTTCATTATATTTCACGCGCAATTTCAAGAGTTTATTTTTCATGAAATTTTGCCACCCCGAGTCAGACAAAATTTGGAAACATTAAAAACTCACGTCGATGTTAATACGGAACGTAGAGATTCCCGGGGTGGTTTGATTGCTTTTCTCGAAAAATTCCCTGTAAGAAGTACGAAGTATCCCATACCTACAATTTATAAGACGAAAGAAATATCACTATCGAAAGTAGTTTTGGTCGAAAATTGTAAGTCGAACCTCTCTGAAATGAGGCTCGTTATGTTGCGTGGTGGACTTATCTGCGAGGATCTAAAATAACGGAGTGCCTTCAATTCTTCATCTCTATTTCAAGGACATCGCTTTAAACTCGAATAGTTGCTTCATGAACCTTTGAAGTATAAACAAACTACTTTGAAGTATAAACAAAGAATTGAAAGTGCTCCGCCATTTTGGATCCCTGCAATGAGGCCCGCCGCTGGCGCCACTTGGCGTCGCGGGCGGGCTGCGAGTACGGAGGCGAGTGTGTGGACAGTCAAAACGCCTTCACTCCCGTGCGTATGCAACACGGACATCCATGGAGCCCGAATAGTTGCATCCAGGAGTTAAAATATAATTTGTATAGTGTTTGTGACACTAACTAAGGGCGTTTTGCATTTTTCTCTTCCACCATGACTCCATTCCAGCGTTGCCGATTGTGCCGACGAGGTCAACTATTACTGATTTATATCGCGACATTGAGATTATCGGAATGATGCTGTGATTGCTTAAATACATATGCCAACATAGCAGTCTTCAATTACACAGTAAAACAAATGGTTTGTCCTTCGAACCAAACCAATTTTTCTCGATTCCTAGGTGCTAAAAAGGTCCGAAAATGCTCATATTAACTTCATAAAATTGTCTAGTGCTCAGGACGCCGCCATTTTGAATTTTTCAAAATTGAGAAAACCCACGATCGGGTTTTTGCACATATCTCCTCAACGGTTAATTCTACGAAAAAACAAATACCAGTAGTAAGAACATAAAATCTGTACCGAAATCACTCTCCCTTTCCTTTTCTAGCTTAATTTTTGGGTCGTGAAATTAACGTTCTCTTCCAAAATTAACCGAAAAAAGGCGCATTTTTGCTGATTTTGGGAGAAACGTTGGTTCATGTCTCTAGCCACCATTAACTGATGCGAAAAAAAAACCTGATAAGCTCAATGAAAAGAGCGTTTAATTTACTTCTAGATGACTTACATCAAAAGTTCCAAAGAGTCCTGTTTATTAGTTCCGCCCTAAAAATGTCATTTTGGTAGGAAATTTTATGTTTTTGCTGCTGGTTTTTTGTTTCTTTCGTAGAATTAACCATCGAAGGGATATTTGCAAAAACTTGATCTTGAGTTTTCATAATCCTTAAAAATTCAATATGGCGGCGCTCTGAGCACTAAATAATTTTCCTAAAGTTAATATGACCATTTTCGGACCTTTTCAGCACTTGGCAATCGAAAAAAATTGGTTTGGTTCGAAGGACAGAACCCATGTTGAGCGGTATTATCATCTGCGCTCCTACCTACTTCGATCGAAGAATGACGAATGAGACATAGGTAGCCGTTTCATGGGTACTTCAGGAAAAATTCTAGTGCGCATCTAACATATTGCTTATTTGTAATTTTTTCGTAGACGGGTACGACAAAAGTCCTGTAAGAGACTGATGTATATCAACCTTCGGTTAGTTCAGAGTTCGCGGCGACAGAACCTGAAGTTCGTAGAAAATATTTCTCACGGATTGCTTTAGGACTCTTGAAATGAAGCACCGGTGGACTAACAAAGAGCTAGTTCATAAAAAACGAATCAAACACAGAGTTAGTATCTACAGGAAGCTGCTCTAAAGCTCTCGCATAAAATATCTAGGTGAAGGTGTTGACAAAAATTAAGTTAGCATCTCTTCTTATCCAGATATCATTATGGAGAGGATTTGCACTTCAAATGACCCTCTAAAACATATTCACTAAAATTTTGCACTGCCAAGCATGAGGAATCCCCTCCTGGAAAAAAGGATCGGTCGAAAATGTGAACCTCTTATTGAAGCCGCATGTGGATTTCATGAGACCTTCCTTAAACATACATCGGAAGGCGATCCAAACAATTAGTGCGACTCCAATATGAGCGGAGCTGGGAGCACGACACAACACATAAACTATAATTTTTTAAAAATACTCCTCACTACCTAAAAAATAATAGTTTACCATCCATATCTTTTCACTGCAGCATAAGGAAAACATTACAATGAATGTCATGGCAGCCTTATGGCCACCGACTGGTGATGTTTCATTCAGAACCAGATTTACCATTTTGGCGCGGGCCTCCTACGCTGCCGTGCGGCCGGAAGAACGCCGTATGAACATTCGAGAGTTGCCAAATTTCCCCGGATAAAACATGTATTTTTGACGGTTCGTGCATATTTTTCCTTGAAATTTTCAGATATTTTAGATTAAATTTCGAACAAAATACTCTGAAAAATTGGAAGAAAAATATTTACAATTTCCCCAATTAATTCGTACTTTATCGAAGGAACTGTGGCAACGCCTGGAGGTTCATACGACGTTTTTCCTTAGCATGGCAGTACGGACCCGCACCACGAAGTTTTTTCCCCCTCCCCTTACCATGAACTTTTCAATTTTATTTCGACCCTAGTATTTTCCCTTGTTTCTCGTGCGCATATGTTTAATTCTACAGGGAGTTTTGTTCTCCTCACTTACCCCCTCATATTGGATGCTAAAAAAAATGCATTAAATTACGTGTAAGAGGGTTTATAATTGCAAATTTTAGCCAGGAAAACCCTCCGGACTCCCTACCCCGGGAAAATTCAACACATAACCCCTTTTCTTTGGAAAGGCAGATCATGGGTGTCTACTAAAACAGGCCGGCCAAAAATCCGTCCTTTTACAATACTCTTTCTGTATACATTTCCAAGAAATGCAGCAGGTATATCCTTGACAGAAAAATTCGGTACCTCCATTTGACGACGCATTCGAAAACTTTCGACAATGTGAAATTCTCGCTCGCATCGCAACAAAAATGACGTAAACACAAAATTTATTGGTGGTCTGAAGATTAACTGACTGCACAATCGCAATCTTGCAAATACTTAGCTAAGAATCAACGCGTAGGGGATTGCATACTTTCCAAAAATCTTAAATCTTGCCCTGGCTCTAAGTTGAGCATTACTAACGGATGCAAAATATGATAATTTAACCCAGTTAAATACTGACCGATTGTAGTAATGACAATGATGGAATAGAAGAGGGCTCCAAAGAAGTTCCATTGAAGTGCCGACTCATCTTCAGAGCCATCCCAACCGTTCTTCCGCATGGCCATCACCAGATCGTTCTCAAAGAGCTTCAAACGCTTCTTAACGCCTGCAGTCCAGTTCTCTTGCGCGAACACTAGCTCGTTGTTGGAGAACATCCATAAGTCTTCAGTTACGTTGTTCCGCATGTAGGAAATGTTCTTCTTCACCTAAAAACGAGTACCGACATTTCTCAGTACATCTTTGACATCGTCTCAATTTTCTATAATGAGGCAGTGACAAGGAATTTTTACAGGGTAATAGTGTATGTAGCTTATCCCGTGTAAAATTTCGTTAAAAAAAAAAAAAAATAAAAAAATAAAATTGTTTCCTCTGAAAAGATTTTCGAAGCTCAAAAAAGCTCCCAAAGCTGACATTGTATTGAAGAAATCCAATACGTTATAAGAGCGTCCAACCACTACTATCCATTTAAACTTGCATGCTTTATGCACAGATAGGGTCAGGGGCGAGTACATCAGCATGGTTCATACTTTGTGCGGGGTACAGCCACGGCAACCCTTTTAATGTGTTCACTCACTAGCACGTGTGTTGCACGTGGATAGAGTGACTGGATGTAAAGGTGGACTTATTGTTTTAACGGAGGGGCTCCCGCTCCCCTCTATTACAGCCTCAACTTGTCCATTTTGAAAGTTTTTCTGAGCTTTGGATGTCATTCAAGTGAGAACCAGTAGCACCATTTACCATCAACCATTGTGTTCCTTGCAAAATTTAATATAGAAGTAAGTACTAAAATTAGGTATTGCAAATCCATGTGACATGAGTGGCTTGCGATTTATAGATTGATCTACCGTTTAAACCTATGAAAAAGGATGGATAAACAGGGTGTTGACAACGAACACCTTAATAAAGGATTCTTTAGCACAGCTTTGAATGGGGAGATATGGATAATAGATCTCACGTCCCGCCACTGTGACATGCATGCCCGGAGCCGAGCTCCAGCCTGGTTATACTTCTGAAGGGGTAACTTACGTCTTTCTCGTGTTGTTTCTCGAGTCTTTCGAAGGTGTAGGCGCCGAGGACGCAGTAGCCAACGACCATGGTGATGAGCATGACATGGACGAAGAGACAGGTAAAGAGCTTCCACGCGTAGTATACGATGGTTGTGCACCGGTTCGGCCCTTCCTCCTCCATCTCTTCCATCATCATGGCTTCGCTTCTCCCTCCGGGGGGTACTCAGCCAAAATCCTAACTGGGACAGGGACGGAGAATGATGAATGACTATAGCCAAAACATTTCCCCAATGACGCGTAGAAAACAATGAGCACATTAGAAACGCATAAAAGTAACACTCGAAAACAGAGAAATACGCAGTTCAAAAAGTGCAACTTTTCCCAAGGTGTAAAACGCCCCAGTTTCGCGCCAAACCAGATGATGTCATCCTGCACCAGGCAGAAGCGAGCGTGGGTTTCCAGGACTTCCGTCAAATGCCTTTCTAATCTTCGTGCTTAAATGGAAACATGGGGCAGTCGAAACCATATACCTCCAAAATCAAAGAATCGAATTTCGTTCATGTTATCTGTGGTAAAAGCAAGCAACAATTCCATATCAAAATACGTTGGGTTTTAACGAACATCAATTGAGAGGAGATAGCGATTTGACTGCCGCATGCCGGTGTACATCACTGAATTCCATCATTTTCCCGCCACTCCGGCGCACTTACGGTTTTGGAACGTTGTCATATGTCTCGTTTTTATACAATCAAGGTGAATTTTGTTGTTTTAGCTAGTTTGAGCTATTTCATTTCAGTGATTTCATCTAAAAGAGATTAGACGAATTTTGAAGGAAACTCGATTTCGGGAATTTGACTCTTATTGCTCTCTTCGCTATCATGGCAGAGGTGCATTCTGTTGCAAGGTGACAAGCTGAGGAGCGGATTTTTAACGCCTAAAAAACATATAAGAAATTCGGTTCCCAAAAAACTTCCCAGAATGCACAAAAGCAGCGGGCACTCGCTTATCTTGATTTGACCCGCTTTGAATCTCTCACTAACGCTATGTCGAATTTTCAAGATGAGTGACGGTGAATATTTGTTCTTTCAAACCAAACATGTCTCCTTTCTTGAGATTTTAGTGAGTTTTTTCACGTGTAAGCAATCACCAGTAATGCAGGTAATTATCGGTAAGGTTATCATCGTATTGGGTGGTATAACTGAGAGTTTTCTTACACGGTAGGTACGGCTTGAAATACAAAAAATTGACTTTAAATGGGGAAATTATTTTGAAACAGTGCAGTCTATTCTCAAAAAGACTCAAGCGTTATTAGTTCATTTTTTCTTCTTTTCCCCTTCGAACATAGCGAGAAAATTTGCGAAAAAACCACAATTCGATATTAAATCACAATATTCTCACGCACTCATTTTTCTGACGTCCCAGATTTAGAACGGGTCGATTAAAACTGTCACTGCTGTTTTTCTCGACTTTTCATTCCCAGCGCTTATGAGGGTCATTCCACATCAACTCAATCAGGTCAGGTACCCGACCCCCTCCAATTTGGCTGAAAGTTGGTACATGTGGTCTATACAGAACACATAGAGCCGTAATGTAAATGGGGGAGCTCGCGCCATGTTCTGCTCGACGAGTTCCGAGCCCCGTGTGCGCCGAGTTCGGGTCACTTTTTCGATACATGTCGATCCAAAATAGCGGTGTGGAATACGTTGTGACTCCTATCTTTTTTTTTTTACATTGGATGGCCGGGTACCCGTGTATCGCAAACAATCGATTTTGTATCGAAAAAGTGACCCGGCGTCACACAGGAGTCTCGGAGTTCGGGACCTAGAAAATGCTTAAAAGTGGCGCCAGCTCACCCACTCACATTACGACTCTATGTACTCTATGGGTCTACAGGGTCTATACAGGGTTATCCAAAAGTCACTGACCACCCCTGTAACTTTTTTCCAAATTGAGATAGAAGTTTGAAACTTTGGGAATGTTCCTCGGTCTAAGGTAGCAACTTTTTGGTCCCCCCAAAATTTTGGGGGCGGGGGCTAACTTTTTTTTTTTCAAATGGCAACCCCCCCCCCCCTTGTGATACCTCATTCGAAGGACAATAAAAAAAGGAAATTTTTGGCGCAAATCGCAGGTCAAAATGTTCATTTTTGACAAAATGGCGGCCGGTCAAAGTTCAAAATGGCGGAAATTTGGCATCTCTATTGTCTATGGACGGATTGGTGTGAAACTCGGAATCCTAGGGTTTTTCGGGATGAGAAAAACGATTCTGGCAAAGTTTTCCAGAAAAGTCAATCCTTTTCAAAATGGCAGCGGTCAAAATGGCGGCCTCGAGCGGGAAGTGGATATTTGGGCTGCATATCGTTGGATTTGCATTAAACTTGGTTTCTGGGGGTATTTCGGCACGAAAAGATATCATTGAATATCATTCATTGATATTAATTGAGACTGAGTATTGAGATTCATTGGATATCTGAAATTTTGACAAATGCCAAAATGGCGGCGGAAAAATTGCGGTAAATCAGTTATACGGCTGTTTACCGATGGATTTGCATGAAATTCGATATCCTGGCGGTTTTTGGCTGGATAAAAAAGAATCTTTCATTAGATTCTTGAAATATCAAATAATTTCATGCCAATCCATCGGTGAAGAGCCGTAAAACTGATTTACCGCAATTTTTCCGCCGCCATTTTGGAATTTGTCAAAATTTCAGATATCCAATGAAAGATTCGTTCTTTTCGTGCCGAAATACCGCCAGATACCAAGTTTCATGCAAATCCAACGATATGCAGCCCAAATATCCACTTCCTGCTCGAGGCCGCCATTTTGACCGCCGCCATTTTGAAAAGGACCGACTTTTCTGGAAAACAAATGCCAAAATCGTTTTTCTCATCCTGAAAAACCCTAGGATTCCAAGTTTCACACCAATCCGTCTATAAACAACAGAGATGCCAAATTTCCGCCATTTTGAACTTTGACCGGCCGCCATTTTTTCAAAGATGAATATTTTGACCTGCGGTTTGCGCCAAAAATTTCCCTTTTTTATTATCCTTCGAATGAGGTATCACAAAGGGGGGGTTGCCATTTGAAAAAAAAAGTTAGCCCCCGCCCCTCAAAATTTTGGGGGGGACCAAAAAGTTGCTACCTTAGACCGAGGAACATTCCCAAAGTTTCAAACTTCTATCTCAATTTGGAAAAAAGTTACAGGGGTGGTCAGTGACTTTTGGATAACCCTGTATATGGTTGCTACATAAGATTACGACCTCAGTTTGTACTTTTAAAAGTCAAAACCCCAATAAAATCAACCAAAACTTTAGTGTTTTTGGCCCACAGCAGTCATGATATAGCACTCATTAACTGACTTACAAAAATTGGCCCTGCGTAAGTAATTCTCTTTATTGCTTCAACGCAAACACGCCCATCTCCTGAATTATCTTTGACGTGAAAAAGCTTTCATATAGTCCTCAGGTAACCCCCCCCCCCTCCCAATTTTTACTCTCCCCTTACACTTGGATAATCACCTGCGTGTCTGCAGGCTCGTTTAAAATTTTTCGCCTATGGAGTGTATTACGTTGTTCTTAATCCATAAGGTTTCAATAAAATCAAGTAATTTCATTCAATCTTCATTCGAATCTTACCTTCTACTTCCTACTGCTCTGAAACGCAGCCATCAATATTCAATCATGGAAAAAAGAAATCCGTCACATTTTTTTAACTTGTAGTTTGCACTTCACCACCCTCACAAACATGCTTCTCAGTTACAATTTTTTTCGCTTCCTCATCTCCACTCTGAAATAGAAAGAGAGTCGCGTTAAATCATATCGAGGATAGGGTATAATTTGTCACTGTGATCCTTTTTTTTGAAAAACCCTAAAGGCGTCTGATTGCCAATGTTATTCACAGAATGGATCCTAGCAAGACCTAAGCAGAGCAATAATGGGCAAGAATATTGTATTTACTTTGCACTCCCGAGTGCGAAATTTCCGCAGAAAACTCTCACTTCCAACTTCCTCCGCGCTGCCGAACGCGGAATATTGAAAAAACTTCCTTTTTGCAGGGAGACAAAGCGAACGCAGAGGCGAACAACTGTTAACCTGAGGCGAAATCATAAGCAAACGTACGTCCACTTATTTCCAACATTCCTAAAAATACTCCAGCCTCTGAGAACGAAGCTATAAATAGTTAATCCACCATCTCTCGGTTTAAAGAAAATAATTTGTGAACCTGTGCGCGCGCTGCTGTGCGCCGCCCGTGATACGGAGTGTTTTATTAATCATCTCGCGGCGTCCACATTCCCCTCCGCCCGCTACGCCTCGGTTCAGACTTCAGTGACAAAAAGGCCCTCCCCTCCAGTCGTATCTTACACACAGACAAATAGACGAATTTAGTGTGACGTCACATCTCGTTATAATTTCGATACCTCGAAAGTCGAAACGTGCCCCAACTAGAGTCCCTTTATAACCAGCCCCAACAAACGAACATGGCGGAGGGATCTGCGGGATATAGGCAGGGGGGTTAGGGGTATTCGCTTGATGGCTGCCTATGATATTACGAGTTTATTTTACAATCAATTCTTGTGATTGTGATCTCAAACGTTTTGGTAAATGAGAAGCTTTCATAATTTTAAAGTCCCATGGATTAATTGTTTGGTTTCAGGCTAGTTTTAGCATTATTTCGCCAATTGTTCATTTTGGAGGTTATGTTTGTTTGTTGGGGCACATTTCGACTTTCGAGATATCGAACCACCAATATCGCTCCGTGACGTCCCCACTAAAATCGTCTATAGCGGTAGCTTCTCATTTCGGGACTCCAACATTCCACCAAACATTCAACTGTTGACCTTCCTATTAAGTGGATGCTGAACAACGTGTTGGGTATTTCGTTTCGCAATCATACCGAAGTTTGGCAAACTTGTTTGGCTCATTACATCACCCGAAGCTCGTCATTTACCTGGTAGGTAGGTCAACAGCCGAAAAGAAGGTGATAACTGTTACTCCCTTGTAACTGTCCATGAGTAAGTATTCAGTCCCCGAAAGTAAAAGTTTCCATCTGTCGCCAAGAGGCTAGTGGAGAGTCTCTTGTCTCTGCCGAGCTTCAGATTGACAGGCCTGTCAAAATGGGTCTGTTGCGTGCAAAAGATACAGCCATGTGGAAAGATTTTTTTTTCTACGA